CTTCCACGTTAAATAGGCTACTTAAGGATAAAAGAGAACAGATTTTGCCAGGAGGAAGCAGAAAAGGCAAGTCCTTCAGGCACGTGGAACCAACTGCAAGGGTCAGGCAATCGTTGTGACTAAATTTTTCAGCCAGGGGAAGCAAAAAGCAAACCATGGGCTCTTGAGTTGGACCATGCCTGAAGCGTAGGAAATGGGATCTGCCACTGGGATCAGGTTTCAGGACACTAACTAGGATTGCTGTGTGTGGGTGTCTGTATATGGGGTATGCAGTTCCTGTTTACAGTGTGGGGCGGGGGAGTGCTGGTGAGAGAGTGTGGAGGCTTGCAGCAGGTCCCCAGTCCTGAGTAGCTGTGTGATCCTGGGTAAGCCACCCACTTCCCTGGGCCTTGGTTTGTACTCCCTTCCCTTCCCTGTCTGTACAGTGAGGGCACATCTTGGGATGCTGTTGTGAGGCCTGAAGGAAGTGCCCACGAATGGTGCCCACTCTTCTCATCACCTGCCCGTGCGGGCAGGGATTGGGTGCAGAGAACCCAGACTGTGGACACATGCAGGGTGGCAGAGGGTCCTGCGGGGATCTCTGAGTCTCAGTTGACTCTGCTATTGAGTGAGGCTGGGCATGCTCCTTCACCGCTGAAGGCCTCAGTTTCCTCATCCGTAAACTGGAAGAGTGATGGCATCTACTTTCTAGGATGATCATAAGGCAGTGGTACTCAAAGTGTGGTCCCCGGACTGTGAACACCACGTGGGAACTCAATAGAAATGCAAACGCTTGGGCTCTACCCTGGACCTAAGGAAGCAGAAACCCTGAGGATGGGGCCCAGACATCTGTGTTGTGGGCTGGGTGCTACTGGAGACCCAAGGTGGGGGAGGACAAATACTTGAGAAGGAACCTGACACTTCCTAGTCTTGCCTGTTACTGATGCCTGAGTTTGGGGGCACCTTCCATCTCTGCTCAGCTTCTCCTTCCTTTTCTACTTTAACTCTCCCCTTTACCAGCTCTGTACCAGGCTTTCAAAGGTGGCTGTCGAGAATCAATTGACCACATCTATAAAAGTTGTTGAGCTTCCAGAAAGTAAGGAAGCTTCCTTGACTTTACTCTCCCATCTCTTTTCCTGAGAGACAGGAATACAAAGGATTATAATTAGAACTTTGTCTTTCTGCCCACTGTCATCAATCTGGGATCCTTAAGGACCTGGTAAATATCACTCACCTTCAGGACAAGCAGCTAGAGATGGAGGCAGTACCCTTGGTTCTGGAAGCCCCAAGCACCTGCTACATGCAAGCCCGCAGCCAAAATGTGTCTCCACCCTTAACCCGAGGACCGCTCCCTAAATACCACACTTCCTCATCATTGTATCCCCAGGCTGGACACATATTCATTCATTCATTCGTTCATTGAACTTTTCTTTTGCTCCTACTATGTGCTCTGTTCTAGGTGTTGGGGTCAGAGTTGAACCAAACAAAGTTCCTGCTTTTGTGGAGCTGACATCCATCCCAGAGGAAGCAGTAAGTCAATAAATAAAGTCATTTATGGTAGACGCCTTTTGACTTGAAATGAATGAATGAATGAAGCAGGCAGCACAGAGCACTTGCTTTGGATCCAGACAGACCCTACCTCAGATCTTGACCTTGTCTCTTCCTCGGCAAACCTTAGCCTCTCTGAGACTCAGTGTCCTCATCTGTAAAATGGGGATAGGAGTAGTATCCTCAAAGAAGCTGGGGAGATGAAATGAGTAAAATGCCAAGCACAGTGTGTGGCACACAGAGGGCTCCGTGGAGTTAGGATGTCACTGCTGTTCTTATTCAAGGTCACACGGCTGAGCTAGCTGCCAACCTGACTCCCTGTCTAAGGGTGTACGCACTGGGGTACCTGGGGAGTCCCAGGGATTGAAAAGGCCCTAGGATTGGCCAGTCATCAGACTGCTGATGTTAAGAGCAGGCACCTGAGGGTCACGGACAAGTTCCATGAATTATCCCAAGTCCCACTGGGAGCTGAAGGCGTCCTCCAGCTGGTGGACAGGGCTTAGATTCTTTGGCCTTGAGAGGGAGTAGGCAGCAAAGCAGAGAGCCTAAAATAGAAAATTCTGGGCCCCCGGAGGGCTCTTTCTCCTATCCCGCTGCTTATTGGGCTCCATCACACCCATCCTTCCTGTTGCCGTCCAGAAACAGTATGGTGCACAGGGGCAGAAGCGGGGATGCGTGTCTTCATCCTCTCATCTCCAGAGCACCAGGTGTGGCCCCCCACCTCAGGGTGACCTGTTCTTCTTGCCCATTTCATCTCTCGCCCCTCTCTTTTGTTCTGCCCCGACTCCCACACTTTCACTGAGTCAGCTTGAGCCTGGACTGTGCTGGCAGACAGACTCGGGTTTGGCCCCAATGTGACCTTGGGCCCTGCAGCCGCTCTTCCTGCATCTGCATCTGCGTCCTCTGTCATCCCGAGGTCACATGAGGTGACGTGTGTGCAGAGTCCAGCTTCGGACCGGACACACACTGCTCGCCCTGGTAGTCATTCTCTCTTGCCTCCCACTCTCAGCAAATCAACTTCTAGTCCCCTTTCTAAACAAACCCTACGCCTCCCAGCCTTAGTGCCTTTGCTGACTGATACCCAGGCCTCGCCTGGACCGCCCTCCACATGCCCCTTGGCCTGTGGCAGACCTGCCCATGGTCTCTAATCTGCACCAGTGCCTGCTGTCTCCCTCTTGCAGAGCTCGTCTGCACCTCCCGGCCTCTGCCTGGTATTCACCCTGTGTTTGTGTCTGTATCATAGAGCTGTAAGCATTGCGCAGATAGAATAGCAATAGTATTACAGGCGCTGTTTACTGAGCACTTACTGTGCTCTGCACCCAACACTGCCAGAGAATCCTCACAAAATCCCAGTGAGTTATGTGTTGTCATGCCCAGTTTGTAGATGAGGAAATCAGGGCTCAGAGGTGCCCAGCCAGGAAGTCGTGGGTCTAATTCCTCTTTGCCTCCCCCACTGCCTGGCACTGTAGATATTTGCGACTCAGTAAATATCCTTTTGGTCTGATGGAAGAGTTGAATTAGGGCTTTAAGATCTGAGTTGGGCAGGGGAGGAGGGAGGGAGGAAGGGAGGGAGGCCAGGATCTGGCCTGGTTTTTCTTCATTGTGTAGGTTGCTTGTGGGCAGCCAGCCATGAAGACCCTGCCTAGGGCTTCTGAGCTGTAGCGTATTGGCTGCAAATAAAAATGGAAAGGAGGTCCAAAGGCTTGGCTTGGGGTCATGGCAGGAACTGGGTTCCGGGTAGAACTGTCTGATAAGTGACCCGGTGAGGATGGGGGTGTGGGGAGATGTGCCATTCACTGCAATCACCTGAACCAGCCACCCATTTACCTCCAGCACCCTCTGCTCTGGTTCCTTTAAAACCACCTCCCTCCTTCCCAGACCCCAGAAGGGCAGCTGCCAATGGGAGGCCAGGCGACTCATTGCTTCTGACCTTGTTAGAGTTGCTTCTTTCTCATCTCTGGCATAAAACTTTAATAAACTATGTCCATGTTCAGAATCCTTGTACCTTTCCCAAGGCAATTTTGTGTCTCTAGCCACTTAATTTTTACAATGAGCCCAGGCAGGTCTTAGGATAAAACTGTGCACTCCATTTCTCACATGCAGGAACCTAGGTGTGGAGAGGTGATGGTCAAGGTCACAGCTGGTGAAGAGCAGAGAGAGTGCAGGGCATAGGGGGCTAGATTTCATACTCAAGCAACAAATGTGTATTAAGTGTGGGCTGGGTGTGGGCTAGATACTGGGTATAAAAGGATGAATACAACCTAGCTGCTATTTAAAAAATTAAACAGGCACGTATATAGCACTTCTCTGTGCCACTGTTCTATACACATCACTCATTAACACGGGTAATCCTCTGACAATCCAATGAGATAGGAAGCATCATTATCCTTAGTTCAGAGATGAGAAAACTGAGGCCCAAGAAGTTGCTTGAATTGCCCCAAATCACACAGTGAGAAAGTGGCTGGGCTGGGATTTGAACCCAGACAGCATGGGCCCAGAGCCTAAGCATTTAATACAGTTTCCTTTTAAACTGGCAGAAAGGACCATCATTAGGACTGGCACAGATGTGGTGTGGTGTGGCATGTAGGAAAGAGCTACCTGGTTCTAAATCCTCACTCCCCACTTAGGTCCTACCTCACGGAGCAGGTCAAGCACCTTCAACCTCAGTTTGCCCATTTGCAAAATGGAGATGATTCTTAAGGATGTTGTGGTGCTACGAAAGATAAAGATGCCAGGATGTGAATGCTGGATAGATCTGAATGGAGAAGGGTGAGGGATGGTGGACCACCAACCCCTTGCCTGTCCTGAAAGCAAAGCTTGAAAAGCAAAATCAGGCTGAATGTTTCTCTTCCTAATTCCCATCTCATCCATGGCTAGCTGTTTTTTTTTCTCCCTGGCTTTCCTACAGTGTTGGAATGGTATAGTTGGGTGAAGCCAAAACAGGTTTTGAAACTTGAAGTTATAGGACACCCAAGACAAGATGCTGAGAAGGAGAGGAGTTAAAGAATTTCCATCCCTGGAATCTGAGAATGTGAGAGCCAGTAGGGTCCTTGGGGGATCAGTGGCCTCATCTCCTTGGGTTACAGATGGGAGACTGAAGCGCAGAGTAGGAGAGAGACTGCCCAAGGTCACAGAGCCTATTTGGGCAGAGCTGCGACCAAAACCCAAGCAGAAGTGCAGACAAAATTCAGAAAATATCCCCAGTTCTCCTGGATTCCTTACACAGAAGAGAGAGAGAGAGAGAGAGAGAGAAAAGGATCTATTCCTTTCGGGCTGTTCAAATCTGGAAAAAATAGCAATTTTTTTTCTCTGCCTGGCTTACATGACAGAGCTCTTAGACCTAATGGATTGCCGTTTTTCTTCTAATCTTGGGGACTGCGGGACTCCCCCTCCCCTTCTCATCATGGAGGGACAGAGCTCTGAGTTTTTAGCATTCAAACATCCCAAGATTCACGATGTGCCCAGGTACTCACCATCAGCCCCAATCTTGCCATCTCCATCTTTGTCTCCAGCAGCCATCAGCATCTTGGTTTCTTTAACAGACAGGTCTCTGGCATCTGGGGAGAAGCCTTTCAGAATGAATCTGGAGGAGGAAAGGGAGAAAAGGGGGAGGGAATCAGGTGAGAGTCACCTTGTGGATGGTAGGCTGGAGTCTGCACAGGGGAAGCAGGCGGCTTGAAGAGGAGGATGAGCAGGGAGCATGCATGCCATTGTGCTGGGCCAGGTAGCCCCACCATGGCTGTGCTTCGCGGATGGGTGTGCAGAGAAGGACAGGCTGTCCTCAGCAAAAGGTTGCCCTCAGTTCCACTAGGGCACCTGCATTTGTTTATTTATTCAGTCAACAAAACAAATACGAGGGTATCTACTCTGTGCCACGGCCATGCTAGAAATGGGGGCATAGAGTTGGTCTTTGAAACCAAGTTAAAAAACAGGGAGGAAGTCAAGTATTCCAAGAGAGGCCACACAGTGTGATGGATGCAATGGTGGGAAGTGGAAAGCGGTGCTTGAACGGGGCATCCATCCCACCGAGGGGGAGGCAAGAGTCAGGGGAGGCTTCCTGGAGAAAGTGATGCCTGGAGGGTAAATAGAAGTCAGCCTCTGCATGTGTGTGCGCGTGCGCATACACATTGGGCATGGGAAGGTAGAGGCGCAGGATCTAGACAAAGGGTACCCTTGTGAGATGGTTTAGGGGAGAGACGGGATGGATGGGGAAGTCTCTACTTGAAAGGCCCCTCTCCACACACACTCCCTTCTCTTCCTAACAAAATTCACGCCAGGCTTGGCCAGAGAGTTACATAAAGCACAGGTGGGTTGGCAGACGTGGGCCAGGTGGCCGAGAGGGTTATGGGGGGAGGATTTTTGCTGATGTCGTTTTGCCTTTTCCTAGTCATAACCTTCTCTGCCTTGCTCCCAGGACTCTTGACCCCTCAGAGCTGGTTTTGCATCCCATGACAGGCCCAGAAACTGTTCAAACCATCCTTGTACAGAAGGGCAGGGGTCTGCGGGATGGCAGAAAGTGGCTTTTAGAGGAATGAAAATCAATGAAATACTCAAGGGAGCGCTCTCTGTCTTGGCTATGGTGTTAGGCAATGAGAAAAAGTGCCTCTCAGTTTGTATTAAATTATTAAGTAGCCTCATTCCATTAGCAATATTAAGTGGCTATAATTTAACCTAGTTAGTTGCACTTTCTGCAGAGGATTTTATTCTTCCAGAAGCAACAGCAGATGGTTTTTTTCTGTGACGGGCGCAGAGAGCGGGGCAGACAGACTGGAACTTGGAAGCAAGTGTCCCAACCCCCACCCCGCTCCCTCCCCCAGAGCCCGCAGACGGGGCTGTCCCTGCGGGCCTCAGTTTACCCCAGCTCCTCCTCCTCGATGAAGCCGCTCTTGTCTTTATCCAGGATATGGAATACCTTCTTTACGTCTTCCGGGCTCTTTTTCTTCAGGCCAACCATCTGGAAGAACTTTTTGTGGTCGAAGGAGTCAACAGCTGTTGGCAGATGGAGAGGAGGGTGTTAAAATGAGGACAGAGGAGGGTCCTAGGAAAAGGTGGGAGAATGGGGATGTCACAGCTGGGCCAGTCCTGGGGGATGGAGGAGACACAGCTCCGTGGCAGGGCTGAGGGAGTCCAGGCCAGGCGAGGGGGCTTGGACCAAGGTCGCACAGCCAGGGGCGGCAGCGGGGATCTTGCACCCGGGTCTCCCTGGCTCCCCAACTCCCTCCACCTTCTACTGTACCCTCCTCTAATGGTAGGGGTAGCATTGGAAGGCAGAGAGATTTCCATGAAGCCTTTTGGGTGGTGGCTGAGTGGGGGTGGGCAATTAGAGGAAGAGTGAATATGATGTGTGTCTGTTGTTGGGGAGGAGGGTCGACCTTTTTCTTGGCCATGGATTGTGTGGTCAGAAAATCAACACGGAGAGGACAAGTTTCTCTCAAGGTCACATAGTAGGAGGAGGAGGGGGAGGACACAGAAGTCCTGGCTTTGCTGCAGAAATCCATTCCGGTGGGAGTGGGGGCGGGTGCTGGAAGTCTCCCCAAGAATTCCCAGTTAGGTTTCCTCTCAGAGGGACAAGATGGGTCAAGGAGAAGTGGGTGAGCTATCGCAGGGCTCTGGGAGGGAGGCTTCATGCCCAGGGGATGGAGTGCCAAGCAGAAAGGAAGGGAGCCCCCCTTCAATATTCTGTACCCTGAGCTCCTTTTTAAGGACAACCTGGGAAAGTAAACGACCTTAGACCAAGTAAAGGTATCCTTCCTGGGCTGGAGGGGAGGAAAGTTGCTCTGTCCACCTAAGACACTAGATGGAGGGGGATGCAGACACCACCTGGAGGTGACCTCCATGCTCATCCCCCTTCTGCCCTGCGAAGTGACCTTGGGCAAGTTTCTAACCCTTCGCCTCCCTCAGTTTCCCCATCTGGGGGACAGGAGGGAGGAGGGACTTAAGCAGCTAAGCCTTCAAGTCCAGGGCAGCTCAGAGACATGAGACTGACCGGTTCCCCTCTCTCGGTGCCTGAGGAGGCTGGAAGTTGCAAGCGCGGAGGATGCTCTGCGCGCAGCGCTGAGAGCAGAGCGCCAGCTTGGGGAAGGTCATCTCGCTCCCTCGCTGATCCGTTGTGCGGGGCGGGCTCTGAGCCCCGGAGAAGGGGCTTGGACATTCAGGAAACCAGCAAGGAGTGGCTGGGCGAAAAGAGCCCTCTCCGGAAAGGGGTCGCGGGGAGAGAAACATGAGCACCTATGGCCCCTCCAAGTGCCTTGAAAAGCCCCGAGCGCTCACAGGACCCAGAGGTCCCGCTTTCCACCCCGGTCTTCGCCCTTGGTCCGGGACCTGAGTCCTCGCAGCGCGGTTACCCAGCCTTTGGCGCCCGAGAGTTTCGGTTGTCCGGCAGGGCGCCCGGCCTCCTAGCCCGCTGCCTGCTCCAGGTCCCTCCGGGGCCAAGTTTGGGTAGTGCCGTGGACCCTCCTCCACGCTCCGCTAGCGCCCCGCGGAAGGAGTGAGCATAGGAGCGCCGGGGAAGACTGGCCAGCCGCGGGACCCACGGGGGTGCAGGGGCCAGGGAGATGGATGAGGGGAGAGGGATGCGGAGGGGAGCGCGCTGCTCACCGGTAAAGGCCCCCACTGCCTTCTTGATGTCCTCAGCGTGGAGCAAGTCTGTCATCGACATCCTGCAACTGTTTGAGCGGGCAGAGCAAGTGCGAAAAGATTAAAAAGTGCTTTTCTCATCATTTCTGCTCATATGACCTGCGCTGCAGTGCCGCGCGCCGGGCGCACGCCCGCCGGCCTGGCTCAGAGCCAGGGGGCGCGGGGCTCGGCGCGCAGCCACCGCGGCTCAGTCCAGCCGCGCCGCCGAGCTGTGCGGGCCGGGCTAGCGGGCGGGCGCACGGTCCCGCCGCCGCTCCCCCCCCCCCCCGCCCGCCGGGGGTCCTTGGGACCCCAGGGACTGCAGCCAGGGCTCCAGGAGAAGGGGCAACCTCTGGAATTTAAAGGGCGCCCGCGTCCCCAGTTGGAGGGTTTTCCTGCCGTCAAGGGCAAGCAGGAAGCGCCTGCCTGGTGCGACACAGGGTCTGGGATCCGCGCACCTCCGAGGATGTCCGGCCTCTTCGGGGAGTATACTGGACCGACAGGGGCCAGGTCTACACTCTCGTGGGCCCCTTGGCCCTACTCCCATTCTCTCTCCACTCCTACCTCTGCCTCCGCTGTCTGTCCTGGATGCAAATTTATGCTGCAAAATCTGAGCGCTGAGGTCTGGAAACCTGACCCACCGGGAGGTGGTGGCAGGGATAGGCCGGTGCTGCTAGGGCCTTCTGCGGGTTCCCCATCCCACGTCTGGTCAGGAACTCGGAATACAGAAACCAATTTTTTTTTTTTTCCATAGTCTGGCTTTTCGAAGAACCCTTCTTGGATCCCCACTAACTATTTGCTTTCCTGGTCTCCTGAGCCAAGGAGTATCATGCCGGTCTGGACTCCTCCTGCCCCTATAAACCGTATGGGGGAGGGGAGGGTGGCAGAAGGTACTTCCCCTCTGTGCACCTTCAAGGCCCAGGCTTGGGGAGCCGGTGCCATCCTCAGACCACACTTCCAAGACAACCGAAGCAGGTTTTATGCCCCCAACTTCTTCTCTGGGAAGCATGACACTACCTGATCTTTACGCAGCCAGAGACCCATTGCTGTCTTTCCCACGGTTTCCTGAGGGTTCAGGCTGCAACCAGCTGTCTCTAAAGTGTGCAGAGCACTGGACAAGGAGTCAGGATCCCTGGGTTCAAGATCTGGGGCTGCAGTATGTCCCTGTGTCACCTTGGGTTGTGACCTTCCCCATCCCTGGGCCTCAGTTTCCCTCCGCTTTGTTGATGGTATGCGGGTGGGCCTTCGTGGTGGATTCTCAACCCTCTGACTTCAGGTGTGGGCAGGCGGGTGGGGCTGAGATAGTGCTCCTTGGTGGAGGAGCTGGGGAGAGCCGCCCTGCTACCCTGTAGCTCAGGTTCCCTGGCACTCACTGTCCACACTGTCTCCCTCAGCTTGGTGTTGGATGGCTGCCCTTCCTGGGAACCTTAGGATGCTGCTGGCTCCGGTGGGCCCCCTTCTCCATGAGTCAGCTCCTTCAGGGGACAGCCCGCCAGCTGGTCTCCAAGGCACCGAGGCTGCAGTTCCTGTCCTGATCTCTCACCGCGTGAGGTCATCCCTGGACCCCTCAGCTGCCCCTATTGCTTCTGCCCCAACTGGCCTTTTAACTTGGAGATGCTGGGCTTCTGTGTTATCATCTCAAGCCCCAGGCTCAGCTCACTTCAGGGGCCTTGTTGGCAAATCTGCTTCCCCAGCTGAGGGATCCTTATGTTATACTAGTGGGGAAACAGGCCAGAGAGAGTCAGCGAGTGGCATAAAAACACACAGCAAGGCAGCGGCTCAGAGGGATCCACCCCCGGCTCTACTAACGTCAAGTCCAGCAATCCACTGCACAGGGCTCCGCCAGTGCCCAGGACCATACCAATCAGGTCCCACGTGTCTCGGCCTCAGATTGGCTTCCGTGGAGTCCCCGAACACTGACCCCTGTGGCAGAGGCTGGACTTCATCAGCCCCATCCTTCCCCCCTGCTTCTTCCATCTCTCCCTGCTGCAGAAGCTTCCCATCGACTCGACGCCATAATCCACCCAGCCAGAGCATCAAATGATGTCGTTAGGTCAGCCCATCGGCCCTCCATATCCCTTCCTCCTATGTCCTCTGCCCAGGCAGGGGCCGCCCCACCTGAGTCCACAGATGTCTGACTCCACCCCTCCTGTTCTGTAGGTGGGCTCAGCCAGTGGGAGGGATTTGCTGCAGGTCACACCACGAGTTAGGATGGAGACCCCAGGATTTGTACTCTTAGCCCTGAACTCCATGGCTGCCCGCCTCTCAGCCTGTGTCACCAGCCCAGCCTGTGTCTCTGGGGGGAAGGGGACGTTTGGCCATCCTTCCCCTCCTCCCCTCCATCCTCGTCCAGCCCCCGTGGCTGCCACTCACCTCAGGTGGAGGGTGGAGGGCTGGAACCTTGAGGAAAGGCTGGGCCGGTGGGAGGTCGTGTCAGGAAGTGAGCCTGGTGGGAGCGTGGCCACCTATATAGGCTTCTGCTCTGGCTATTTTGGGAGGTGGTGCTCCCCTGGGTTCCCGGCCTCCTCCCCTTCCGGTGTCAGGTACTCCCCAACCACGGTGCTGGGTGTCTATATCACATTCACCCTCCCTGGGCCCCTCCAGCCAGGCCTTTTAATAACCCCTAGTCCCTGCCTCCCTCCAGCACCCAAAACTGAGGCTCAACCAGGGCTCTCCTCTTCCATGAAGTCTTCCATGAACAGTCTAGATGCCAGTAACATCTCCAGGCTCCAAAATCCCCAAGGAAAGGAAGAGAGCACTCGAGCAGAGGGATGGAATAGGAACTGTCTTCCATGCATGGGGCTGGTTAGATTCCTATTTCTACCCAATCTCTCTCCAGCCTTGCAGTACAGGCCTGTCTCCCTCTTTCTCTTGCATGAGTGAGACAACAGACAGGCTAGGGGTTCTGCGATTGACTACTCAAAGCTGGGGACTGGAGCAGGGAGTGGACCCAGCATTTTCACAAGATGACCTAATGCCTCCTAGAAACACATGCTCTGCATGTTCTCAGACAGATTCCTTCCTCTCTTGGCACCTCCGTCTCTGTCTGTAAAATGAGTTCAACCGGGGGCAAACTTGGCTCTAGGCATGGGCCAGGGGATGAACAACCCCCTGAAATTGTATTCCCAAAATCTGGGTAAGTGCTCTTTTGTGAGGCAAGGGCCCACAGCTTTCAGGAGATTCACAAAGACATCTCTGGGGTGGTCTGTCTTGGATTGGAGATGACCATCCAAGGGGTGTGCTTTGAAAAGCATGAGTGAATATAACACATATTTATTGAGTGTCTAGTATGAACACCATGAAAACTTCCTCTTCTCATCCCCAGCCTTATAAAGAATTTCCAGGATGCTGACACTGTCAACAGGACATTCCAGTTCCTGATGGTGGCGTTAGGATGCCCAGGCTCCATGCACAGGTAGATTGGAGGGAAGCTGCACTGGTCCTTCGTTGACCATCAGTTGACTCCAAGGGTGGAAGAAGGAGCAGAGGGTGAACTGGATGGAGAGGCTGGTTCTGGAGCCTGAATGTGTCATGCTAGGGGTCTGGACTAGGGTGATGGTCATGGCATCAAGGAGGGGTGTAGACATAGGGTAGCATCTCTGAGGAGACTCTTGCAGACTTGAGGGCTATGATAAACAAGTTGGACAAGTCCAAGTTGACTCTCAGTTTTCAAGCTGGGGTTCACTGGAGATTGGCAGTGCTGCTTTTGAAGGTGGTGAGGCTGGGGAGGAAGTGGTGCCAAGCTGGGGAGATGATATGTTGGAGATTAGCTCAGAGATCCTCCATAGTGACCTCCTACAACCTGCTCACATTATAGGTGAAGAAACCAAGGCCAAGATGACAGACCCAAATCATATAGAGAGTAGTGAACGAGCCAGGACTTTGTGCTGGGTTTGGGATGCTTGGAGGACATTCTGGTGGAATGTGCCCAGGAGCTCTGAACTCTGGAGAGGGCTGGCTGGACATAGAGCTGTGGTGGTCATTGGGGAGGTCAAGGAGTTGAAGTCACAGGCATGGCTGAGCTCTGGGGCAGTGGGTGGGGGGATGCAACATCTTGAGGACCAGCCGTGTAGAAAGATCCCTGGCTAGGGTCTGGGAAAGTAATCACACTCATTTGCTGAGTATTATGCCAGGTATAGTGTACACTGCATCATGCTTTCATCCTCATAACACTCCCTATGAGGTAGATATTGCCTTCAGGATTTTGCTAATGAGGGAACAAGGCTCAGTGAGGTTAGGTGACTTGCCTGAGGTTACAGAGCAGAGGTAGGACCTAAACCCAACTCTCTCTGACCCCAAAAGCTTTGCTCTTTTCTATTCTACTATCTTGCTTCTTGATAAGATGCACAGAAGGTACACGTTGGCACTAGTGTCCCCCAATGAGTGAATCCTTGGGAACCAGGAGGGCCTTTTGTCTGTCTCTCTCTGTCTTGCTATGTTCATGTAATTAAGCAGATCTATATGGGCTGAACCCATATTGTGGGAAAGCATTTATTGTGGACCTATTGTATCCTTTGTGCTTTATGAATATTATTTCATTTTACCCTCATTACAGCCCTCAAAGATTTGAAGAATTAGAGTCTCAGAGAGGTTTATAACTTGCTTAAGGTCACATGGCTAGTGAGATGGCTAAGATTTAAACTCAAGTTTTTCCATTTCTGAAGCATTTTCTCCCCCAAGACTTGAAGTAGGGTAGGGATGTCCTAAAGCCTGAATAGAATATCTTGAAACATACAGTTGTTGTTGTTGTTTTTTGCCCTGAATCTGTGCTAATGCAAGCAACCATCACTTTGTTAATTTGATTTTACAAAAGCCATGCTGCTGGAGAATGGGTGTATCAGGCAGGCCTTTTGGACTCTTAAGTTATAGAAAACCTGACTCGGGCTAGATTTATTCTATAATTGTATATGGTGATGGATGTTAAATAGTCTTATTGTGGTGATTATTTTGCAATATGTAAAATATTGAATCACTATGTTATACACCTGAAAGTAACATATGTGTGTGAGTTGCTCAGTTATGTCCAATTCTTTGCGACCCCATGGACTGTAGCCCACCAGGCTCCTCTATCCATGAAATTCTCCAGGAAAGAATACTGGAGTGGGTTGCCGTGCCCTTTTCCAGAAACTAACATAATGTATGTTAATTTTATCTCAATTGAAAAAAAAAGAAAGCAACATTCTATGCCCAAAAATGGCAAAAGGGGGAATACTGACTCATGTGACTGGTAAATCCAGGAAGGTTCATGTATATCTTGACCCAGAACTCAACAACTGCCATGAGAAAGCTGTTTCTGTTTCTCAGAAATACCTTGTACTGCATCGGCTACCTGCTCAGACTGACTGCCCCTTGAAGGTTGCAAGATGGCTTTTCCCTGCAGCACTGTGAAGCTTCAGGACCAAGTCCCTGTGGAGAAAAGGGAGTCTACTGCCCTAAAATCTTGATCAGTATTCCCAGGACTGAGTTTCATTGACTGTGATTAGCTTGGCTTGGTCTCACACCACCCTTAAACTGGTCACTATCAGTGGCAAAGGTTGCAAAGGCCTGGACTGCAAGGCACCTTCAAGTCTATACCAAGGGAACTGCACGTGGAGGAGGTGGGGCCTCTGGGTGGTCAAAGCCATGAACCATTCGCTGCATGAGTCTCAGGGTGGGGGGATGCCCAAGCTTGCTAGGCACTCAGGAGGTTTATGCCCCAAATCCTTGGTGAGTTTGATGACAGTATACATTTGAACTTCTCCAGAATGATTCACTCCCGAGCCTAGAGCGGCCTTTCTGAACTTGAGATCTTCATCTCCATCTTGACCGTCGTGAGGCCTAACAAGCAGCTACTCCCACCCCCTTGGACCTCTGCTTAAAGGTATCAGCAGAGTCCAGTGGAATTTTCTCCTAGTTTTAGGGTTTCTTTCAATAGTAATGAGGCAGATAGGTAGGACATACGGATGTCACATTCCCACATTCACCTCACCTCTTCCTCCCTTCAGCCCTGAAACTGTGCCTGGCCTTCAGCTGAATACTTCCACTTACACATTACTGAAATGGATCCCATTACCCTCCTTTTGGGCTTCCCAGGCTGAAGAACCTGCCTGCCAGTGCAGGAGATATAAGAGATTCAGGTTTGATCCCTGGGTTGAGAAGATCCCCTGGAGGAGGACTTGGCAACCCACTCCAATATTCTTGCCTGGAGAATCCCGTGGACAGAGGAACCTGGTGGGCTACAGTCCATAGAGTTGCAAAGAGTCGGACATGACTGAAGTGTCTCAGCGTGCACTCATATAACCTCCTTTTACAGATGAAAAAGCTTAAGTTCAGAGAAGTCAAGTCCCTTGCCCAAGGTCACACAGCGGGCAGGGACCAGAGTCTGGGCTGTCTGCTTCCACTCCTGTCCTGTGCTCTCCCCAGAGCCCGCTCTGGCCTCCTGGCTGGTGAAGAGAAGAAGGCCAGTGTGTGTGGGTCAGCAGTCTGCTAGCTGCTGTCTGCCAGGAGACAGGCATTCAGCTGTCAGCTTCACTGGTGATATTTCATTAGTTCACACTATTTCCACCTGCTATGGTGGGGAACAGGATACAGAGTTCCTCACATCCAGGGCCCTGGCGGGCTGGGTGGAGGCTGTGGGATCTAATGATATTTATGAGGTCAGCCCTGTGAAGTGATGTGTATTAACTCAAAGGAATGTCGGCCTCATTCCATCCTGAGCCTGTGGCCTTGTTTCCCCTCCGGTCCCCCACTTGTATTTAAGTGCAATTTCACCCCTGAGAGAGAGAGGCCAAGGGGTAGAGAGTCCTAAGAGTGCTAAGAGCATGCAGGTAGACAGCCCTGGGTCCCTACCCTGGCTCTGCCACTTACTTGCTGTGTGACCTTGAGCTGGTTGCTCTGCTTCTCTGGGCCTCAGTTTCCTCATCTGTAAAATGGAGCTGAAGAGGAAGCTGTGATGAATACTGAATGAGACCCTGCCTAAGGGATTTGGAGGATACAAAATCCTACACAAATGACAATCAGGGTGGTTATCATTGTGAGGAATTTACCCTCAACCCAGTCCTGCCACTGAGGTCTGTCTTTGTCGACAGAAACACACAGAGCAGCTTTGTGGATAGAAATGTGGAGAATCAAGGAGTGCCAGCCCCTAACAACCACTGGCTTTTGGACCCAGTGTCCTTGCAGGGGAAGTCAGGAGTTGATGATAAGGGAGAAGGAAGAACTGGAGGATGTGAAAGGTACAGGGGCTGAGAACGGGGTCTCAGACCCAAGGTGGTCCTAGCTGGGCCTGGGACTCTGGCAAATGAGCCGAGGTTGGGGCTGTGTACGCTGAGGTGATTATAGCTCTTGGCCACCTGAGTTTGTATCACTTCCTTGAAAACCTCACCTATCTCAGTGATGCTTGGAGGAAACCAGGAAACAGTTCAGTCTCTGTGAGGCTGGAGTTACAGAGGGGAGCAGGGCATCCCAAGGTCATGGCTGTGGAAGTTGGAAGACCTAGGAGAAACTGGTAAGTACCCAGGAGTCTCCCTTCTTGGAGTGTACTGGGTGATGTGTGTGGAGAAGCAGAGAGACACTGGTCTGCAGAGTGTTTAAGAACTCTCTCGGCTCCCAGATGCCTGCGGACCTCAGGGGAGCAGACAACATCCTACCCGAGTGCAGCTCAGATGGATAGAGCCATCCTAGATTCTAAAGGCAGGAGCCTTTCTCATGTTATCATCTCTTCCTTAATGCGCTTCTATCTCTGTCTGTCCTGGCTCCCATCCCCATGACAACCCACATCCCATAACAAGAGTTAGAATGGTCATCGAGGACTTGCCTAGTAATGCAGTGGATAAGAATCCATCTGCCTGCCAGTGCACGGCACACAGGTTGGATCCCTGATCCAGAAGATCCCACAGGCCATGGAGCAACTAAGCCCGTGAGCCAGAACTGCTGAGCCCACGTGCCTAGAGGCCGCGCTCCACAACTAGAGAAGCCATCACAATGGGAAGTCCGTGCACCTCAAGGAAATGTAGCCCCCGCTCACGGAAATCAGAGAAAGCCCATGCACAGCAAGGAAGATCTCGTGCAACCAAAAATGAAATTAATTAATTAATTTTAAAAAGATTGATCATTGAAAGAGGTTGTGTATTTCTGTGTGTATATGGTGTGTGTGGGGGCCCATGCACCCACACTCATGCCCACAGGGGATGGATGATAAATTTCCATGTGTTTCTCTGGGACTCCCATCCTATGCGCTCTTAACTGACTCTTGGGATAGACAGTGACTGGCCCTCTCCCAAGGTGGACCCAGGAGCTCTAACAATCAGCAGGTGTCCTCTCCATCATCTAGCATCTTTGCCTCAAAATCAAGTAAATACTAATATTCTGAACTCTGCTACGGTGATGAGGGAAAACAGAGGACTCATCTCAAAATATTTATCTGTACCCTAGTGTTATGGATTGAGTTGTATCCCCCCAAATTCATCTGTTGAAGTCCTCACCTCTAGGACCTCAGGCTGTGACTGTATTTGCTGATGGGGTGTTTGCAGAGGTAATTCACCTGAGGTCACTGGGGTGGACCCTAATCCACTGTGACTGGCTTCCTTATGAGAAGAGGAGCTTGGGACATAGACGTGCACAGAAGGAAGACCATGAAGACACAGGGAGAAGATGAGGGTCTGCAAGCAGAGGGAGGCCTCGAGAGGAACAACCCTGCCGACACCTAGACCTCGGACTTCTGGCCTCCAGGACTGTGAAGACATAAATGTCTGTTGTTTAAGGC